ACTTGAATGTAGGACCTGAAACCATAAAAATTCTAGAAGAAAACATAGGCAGTACACTCTTCAACAGTGGTCTTAGCAGCATATTTTCAAATACCATGTCTGACTGGGCAAGGGAAATAAAAGAAAAAATAAACAAATTTGACTACATGAAACTAAAAAGCTTCTGAACAGCAAAGGAAACTGAACAAAACGAAAAGACAACCTAAAAATCTGATGAGCAGTTAATATGCAAAATATATAAAGAACTCAAGCATCTCAAGAAGAACAAAACAAACAACCAAATCAAAAAATGGGCAAAAGGTCTGTTTCCAAAGAAGACATACAGATAGCCAACAGGCACATGAAAAGATGCTCAACATCACTAATTCTTAGGGAAATGCAAATCAAAGCTACAATGTGATATCACCTTACACCCAGCAGAATGGTTATAATTAACAAAAAATAACAATTGTTGGTGAGGATGGAGAGAAAAGGGAAGTCTCATACACTGCTGGTGGGTGGGCAGACTCTTGCAGTCACTGTGGAAAACAGTATGGAGATTCTTCAAAAAATTAAGAATGGAAGTACCATATGATCCAGTTATTCCGCTGCTGGGTATTTATCCAAAGAACATGAAAACATGAAAGCATAAAGATACATGCACCCCTACATTCATTGCAGCATTATTCACAATAGCCAAGACTTGGAAGCAACCTAGGTGCCCAACAGGGACGAATGGATATAGAAGATGTGGTACATATACACAATGGAATACTACTCAGCCATAAGAAACGATGAAATCTGGCCTTTTGTGACAATATGGATGGATCTTGAGGGTATTATGCTAAGTGAAATAAGTCAGATGGAGAAAGTCAAATACTGTCTGATCTCACTCATAAATAGGACGACGACAAACAAATATGTAAATACAGAGATTAGATTGGTGGTTATCAGGGGGGAAGATGGGACGGAGGAGGGTGAAAGAGGTGACTGGGCATATGTGTATGGAGATGGTTGGTAATTAGTCCTTGGGTGGTGAACATGATGTAGTCTACACAGAAACCAAAATATAATGACGTACACCTGAAATTTATATAATGTGATAAACCAGTGTTACCTCAATTAAAAAAAAAAGCAACTCTTGTGGTTTCAGTAATGGGAGAGAGATATGTCTCTGAATAATGCAGGTGTATTAAATCCCTATTCTGAACACAAACATTGCCTAAAATAGTAACCAGCTAGAGAGTTGTGGGAAGGTTCGCAGAGCCATGCAGTGGCAGTGTGGAAGACATCTAAAGGCAGATCCAAGGTTATGGTTATAGAGCTGTCTGCATGGAATGTTGGCCAATTCTAGTAAGCTTTAGTTACAAAGGAGTAGCATTAATTGTGTCTTTTGAAGCTCACTGAAAGAGTTGTTACTATAAGCTATTAGGTTCCAAAAGATTGTGTCTGTGTTAGTACAAAATAGTCATAGTTGACCAATATATTTGATCCAGTTTTCTGTGGCTCATGATGATGGGAGGACCAAAGGGAATGGCTAGGTGCTCTATTATTGTAGAGTCATCCAGATTGGCCATAGCCAAAGGGACTATCTTCATATTCCTACTACCCCAATTCTGCCAAAGTGCTAAGAGGGGTAATATACAACATATTGTCAATCAGCCTGGCGTGGACTCTGACTAATCAGAACGGGTGTCTGTTGTAAACATGGAAGACCATATTGGTGCCCACAGGCTAAATATAAATTCAGACTGTACAGTGGAATTTGGAATTAGGTATTCTTCTTTGTTTATGCAGGTATTATGCTATGTGCTGACTAGATATTTTCACATGTGAAGGTATTTGGGGTAGCTATTCTGGCCTGAACTAAAGTCTAACTTATGCCCTATCAAACGCACGTTGTCCGTCTGCTCTAACCATTAGTGTAAAGAATGCATCAAACTTTATCTCAAAGTAAAAGTGCTTTCACTCTTTGAAGATAAGAAAGCATATTCCCCTCCTACAACACCAGGTCAGTACCAGTGCTCCTGGAGATAAGTTCCCTTCCCTTGTCATCAGGGTCATGTTGACCTACTAATTTGCAACTGAGTATGTCTTTGACTCTTTGATGAATATGTATCCTGGGTGTGTTTAATGTATGTTCTTTGTTCTGAAAAGTACCAACTGTACTGAAACATGCTTCTCCTGAGCGCTCTCCTCCCTGGTGAAGATTGCGCTTCTTGGCTGTAGTCCTCAGACTGGCTCATAAATAAACTCACCTCATTTTTAATCTATAGGTTGATTATTGGTTACTTGTGTCAACAGTGCTTAATGAAAAGTTTTTATGGAAATTATATTTAGTAAACCCTCATTATATCAAACATTAGAGCATTTGTAATTTAGACAATTTTCTTCCTTTTTTTTTCACTTTACGGGTCTTTGGTTATAGTAAAGTCTCTTTCCTCCTATTATAAATTTGGTATCCTTGTTTTACTTTGCTGTAAAAAAAAAATAACCAAGAAGAGTAGTGGTGCAAATGCTGGCAACTGCATCAATTACAAGCCAACGGCCCACTTTGTGCAGGACCCTGTGGCAGATGCTATTTCCTTGCCCTTTGCCATTAGGTGAGATCCTCCGCACCGGCAATCTAGACTGTTACCGAGGGGCTGTAATTTGGGATGCTAGGCCACTGGGTTCTTCCACTGGCTTTTATTTTAAAGTCATTTGAAACTGGCAGATTTATGGACTAGCCAGGTGAGAAATTTTTCTGTTTTGTCTTCTTGGAAAGGTTTGAAGTAAAAGAGAAGGTTTTTTTTTTTTTTTTTTAACAACTTGGTGATAGCTAATGTCGAATGTCTGTCTCTCACTACTTCATTCTCTCCAGCGATGCTGGCGGGTGCGGGAGTGGATGGGATGATTCCACTTCTTTCTCTTTCTGTCTTGGGTAATTGTTTCCTGTAATTTCTAATGTTTCTCTACGGTCTTGGCACATTCTGTTGAATTTTTTCTTATGGATGGCCTCTGCTTTTCTTCCTTTTTCTTTTTGTGAAAATAGAAGAGTATCATCCCATATTTAAATCAGAAGAGTGAGTATGTCTGTGTCCTGTGAACCAAGTTAACACCCTAGTACTAGGATGTTCCTGAGTCACGTTATTCCTTCTGGTGATAACTTTTTAAAATTTGCCAAAGAGTGGCTCCATAGACATATCAATTAACAAAATATATGAGGACTTTGCTCAATTCTACGGAGAAATAGAAAACGGTTCCTGCCCTTGACGAGTTTACATTCTCACAGGGAAATAGGGTAAAGCAAGCAAGTGTCAAATGAAAATGTAAGTGCCAAATAGAGTACAAAGTAGGAGGGATGGCTGCAGGCTCACAGAATCTGTTCGGACATCATGGGAGGGGCACTCTACTTGGAGCTTGAAAGGAGAGGAGGGTGTGGATAAGTGGGGTGGAGAGGGCAGGTTCTTGCAGGCAAGTGGGAGAGGCCGGGGGTCAGAGCAGGGTGAGTAGGGGCGGTCTGTGGCAGTGAGGAAGTGGCAAGGTGGCAGCACTGGGATCATGAGTAGTGGGAGGCAGAGTTAGAAAGGTCAGACGGTGAAAGGCCTTGATCAATTAGTTTGGCCTCTGCCTCAGTAAAGGTCCTGGCAGGAAACAGATGGTTCACTCATAGTGGGGTAATTTGAACAAAGTTTAATGAAGGGATTACTTACTAAGTTGTGGAAGAGTATGAGAGCAATCACATGGTGAGTGCAGTACCCCAGGGCTGGCAACAGTGGGGTGCTAAAGCCACGCCTAGTGCAGGAGGGGCGAGAGGATTGTGCAGCCACCACCAACACAGACAGAGAAGGCTCTGTGGACAGGGCTGCCTGACAGGAGCTTCGGGGAAGTGGAAGGATGTCAACAGTCCTCAAAGACTTCGCAGTTTAGGGGTAAGGGGAGGTGATAAATTCCCTTACCTCATTCTCCTCCCTCGTCTGATCCCCTGCTCCCCATTGGCTGGCCCTACCCAGAAGTCAGAGGGAAAGAGATGCCAGTGATTCAGTCCTTCCCGCTCAGCCTTCTGCACACAGAGCAGGTGGGGAGGGCGGGAGAGGTCTTCAGAAGGGCAAGAGGAAGAGGTGGGAATCTTTTGAAAGCCACTGAACAGGGCTTGGTGTAAGAAAAGGAGTATTTCAGACTTGCTGATGCAGCAGCAGCTATGCAAGTTCAGGAGGGAAGAGGTTAAAGGCAGGGAAATCTGTTGAGGAGACCAGGTTTAACATTTTTCATTGTGTAAATTAATAAGGCCCAGGACCAGGTTGTTGGCAAAGGAATAGAAATGAAGGAACAAACGTGAACGGCAGCATGAAGAACTGTCAGTAATTCATACAGGCAAATTTATGTCTCTCTTTGTTGTGTTATTATCTTCAGATTTAGATTCCTAAATGTTATAAAATGTATGGAATTTGTGAGTTTAGAATTTGGCGACAACATCTCTCCTCTTTAATCACTTTCTCTAATGTAGTTTTCCTTTCGTTTTTTTTTTTTTTTTTTTTTTTGCATTTTGATTTCCTTATTTGATATTCAGTTCTTGTTGAAGGTATAGCTCAGAGCTTCAGTAATTTAGTCTGAGAAATACTAACACTTTACAGAATACCAAATGAGAGTTCAGGTTGCTTCCCAATTGTATTAAATATTTTTCAGATGTAATTAACAGTTTATCTTAAATTCTAATAATCAAACTATTTCAATTGTTCTATATCTTATGAGTGAAAACATACATTAGATACTTATCACATCATAATGAATTCATTTTATCTGCAAATATAGTGCAAATGTCAATCTTAGTCCATAAGGTCTATCTATTCCCCTTATATATATTGCCTTATATACTCATTTATCTTCAGCACAATATATGCATAAATTTTCAGTCAGAATAACCCGCACAGATCACAGTGAATAACATAATATCATAAAGACCCAATAGCTCAGTTTTTACTCCATTATATGATCTTTCAAAAGTCAAGAGCATGCAGCTCTCTATTTTGGGTACTTACCTCTCAGGGAAATTTCTCTGTTTTATTCTCTGCAGAAAGATAAAAAGTAGTTTACCAGGAGATAATGCCAACTGAAGAGCTACAGTCTATTTTCATTCCCTTTTCCCTTTAACTTCACTTCATTGCCTGTACAAGGTTATTTTGCAAGAATAAAATCCCTTCTGGCTTTATCAGATGTCTCCAACATTTCTTCAACTAACCCTTATGTTGTGGAAACCAGATCACAAGGGACAGGGGCTGGAGGCAGGAGCTCTTCGCGCAGGGTGCCTGTCCTCCAGTGTCTGGGCTCACCTGCTGAAGGAGATCCAGGTGCTCCTGGGAGTTGCTGAAATTTTTCCCAATGTCAAAGAGGCAGAAGGTCTCCTGCTGGCAGATGCTGACCCAGTCTTGGTATTCCCCTGTGTCCGGGATGCGGTCCAGAAAGATCCGATACGCTTCCCATACTGCCTCCTGACACACTGCCATGCAGCGTCATTAGGGGTTGAAAAGAAGATCTTAAGAAGATTCGCTTTCCGCACCCAAAGCAGAATATTATAACATGGAAAGCTCTTTCATGGCTTAAGTCAACACACTAGTTTATAGCCCACAGAAATTAATTTATTTAACAAATATTTATTGAGAACCTATCTGTGCTATGGAGAAAAATAAAAGAAGGAAGTTAGGGAATATGAGTGTGTGTATGTAAGACTACAATTTAAAACAGGGTGGTGGAGGAAGGACTCATTATAAATGTGACTTTTGAGCTGTTTGGGAAAAGCCCCCAAGCTTGGAGAATGCCAGAGAAATTGAAGGAACAGCAAGGAGGTCAGGTGGCCAGAGCAAGGTTGAGAGTAGGAAGTTGAAGCCAGAAAGATGTGGTGAGGGGGACACAGGTTGTGTGGGGCCTGGTGCCTAGTAGTCTTCGCACTCGGCACAGGCCCCTCGCTGTGCGACTTTCCAAGGGATAAACAGGCATGCAGACAGGTTGAAAGAGAGTCAATTTCTAGGTCTCAGCTTTCCTATCACTCTTTCTTAAAGTCAGGCTGCCCAAGGACACACCTTTCCTTCTTCATGTTCCCTTTGGTCACCCCCCTTCCCCCTTCATCCACCCCTATCTTACGGCGCACAGTGCCGCGAGGTCGCCACAGAAAGGGACCATTGGAAACAATAGTGTTGAGGTTAAGAAAGGGAGTGAACTTAGTCGAGGGCAGCACACATTTTTGCAACTAGGATGGCTTCCGATTCTTTGCTTTCAACAAATTAGGAGTCTTAATGGAGTCGACAGCTGATAGATCATTAAAAATAATGATGACAGGTCATGATGGGATTGTTGGCACATAATGCCAAAGGAACTTAAAAAGTAGGATATTGCTATAACAAAACTCCATCTGTTCCCATCTACTGGCTGTGTAACAAATCTTCTCAGCATTTGAGTGACACTAAGTAAAAGAATAGGGATAAAATTGATGCTAAATTCTGTCTCCTTTTAGCAATACACAATTTAAATAATAAGTAAAGGCACATAAATGAATAGAGGAGCAAAATCAAAGCACCCCACCTGTCCAGAGGCAGAAGTGGATGAAGCTTAAGCCACAGGCCCTTCCTTTAAACTGGCCCCTTCCAAGCCTTGCTCCCAATTTTAGATTTATAACCATTAGCGCCCACAAAACCTGTATCTGATCATGTATCCATCTGTCAATAAAAACTTACTTAAAATTTTTGTCAAATTTATAATATCTGTTTGTTTTAATCAATTACATATTAAAAATAACTATAAATGCAAGTGAATCTGGAAGAAATTTCTTTGTACACATAAAACCTACAGTAACAGGAAATAAATAAAAATATAATTTCAATTTATATACATATTTTTGTTACTGAGAAGTATTTTAAAGTAATCGATAACAGACTTTGAAGCATAAAATAAATTACATTAAGACTCTGAAGTGGGAGGTGGAATGGAAACGTGGGCGTGTGGAGAGAAAGCCGAGCGACGTTTCCTCCCGTTAAGGAGAGTTCCTTCACATGTTTGTTGAGAGTGTTTGATGTAAGTACTGAGGGGCTGTGGTAGATTCCACTGGATACATATGAAGGCTCTAATTCTTATTTTATTTTCAATATCAATATATACAACTCACCAAAAGTTACATCCTATCGAATTAATTAAATTTATGATGAAAAACTTCAGATGCCAAATGAAAAGTATACAAGGGGGTACATAGTTTAACAATTATTTTAGGGGGTAAAGTGAGGAAAAAAGATGAGCTGACTTTTGTTATAAGCAATTATAATATGTTGGTTTTACCTCTAGAGGAATGGAGAGCAATTGGAGGCTCTGGGGCAGAAGCTGACATCACTGAACTTTCTAGAAACTCTGATGGCCGTGCTGAGAGAGGTGGGGGTGGGGTGAGGAACAAGGGGAGAGGAGACCAGCTTGGAGACTCTTGCTCCTGTGCTTTATCCTCCCTAGCTCCCCACTGATTCTGTCTGGAGTCTTCTTAGCTTTCTATTTTAAGAGGCAAAGAAGATTCCAGACCAACAGAAGCTCAGGTCATTTACCAGCAGCCACCTGACCAGAACCCACATAGCCAGCAGTGGGTGCAGTCCCCACACCTCAAATCTGCCATGGAGTTTCCCTCATTTGGGGAAACACAGGGGCCAGCCCACTTGGAGAGCGAAGGAGCAGCCTCTCCCTGGAGAACCCCCTTCTGTGAACACGCCCTCTCCCCTGGCAGGCAAGGAGCAGAGAGGTTTACTTCCTTCCTCGAACCCATCATCACAGGCAGTCTTCCGCTCTTCGTCTCTAGTCAAGAGTCTGCACGGCAGGTGAGAAGGAAACAACACTCTGGTGTTTAGATTTGTCCAAATCTTAAGAGTTGTGTGGCCAGTCTGAGCACACAGGCTGCCCTTGCTGTCCTTCTTGGCTACATATTCCACACCTGCTGTGGGGATGCTATTTTGTGCTTCTATCTTTCCCCAGTGGACCTGCTAGTTTAGTTCAAAACCATTAGGTGCCAGAGACATAACAACACATAAGATCAACTAGCGTTGCCTTTGAGGGGTTAGTGTTGGCGACTTTCACTGACAATATCCATGTGTGAAGCATCGGGGAGAACAAAATGTGATAATCCTTCTGTTTAACACTTAGACACGCCCTGGAGTGTGTTGCTTTTGGTCTCAGATTAAGTCGTCCTTTTATCTCAATCCATCTGACGGCTTGTTTTTGGTGCCTGCCTCTTCCTAGCTCTGCTCCTTTCCTGGTGGCCCTTTCTCCCAACTCAGGGACACAGAACACCCCATCCCCATTAAAACCTTCTCTTTACAAAGGCTCTGAGAGAACTTTCTTCCTGAAGCACAAATGGCTGAAGCTGCTTGAAGTATGATCTCCCTGGGGCATTGTAGTTTGTAAGGATCAACATGTTAAGAATGAAACAGGGACCAGTAGATTCTGTTTGGACTCTTTTTGAGGGGCAGGTTTTTTGGTGGCTCCTCTGATGTCATTTTTTCTGGCCTCTGGAAGCTAACCACAAACAGGAGGCACAGGATCCTTCTGTGATTGGGAGAACAGGAGCACGGGCCCACGACCTCGGGGACAGTCCCCTATCCTTACCTGGGAGCTTCAAAAGAACCCTTGAAAATTGAGGCATCAAAGGATCTCGGGGCTGGAGGTGTCTGAAAACTTCTGAAAGTTGGATTTTTCTAACCCCTTGATTTACCTGTTCTGCGCCACCCTTCTCTGAATCTACCGGGAGGAACTGACACAGGGATTCTAGAGAAATCCAGAGCCTTGCCTTCCCAGTCTTCCTGCACTTGCTGGCCAATGCCTGAAATCTGACCACAGAGCCTCAGCCTTTCTGCTGAATGTCATACCCTAGGCTGTGTGACAGTGTAGGAAGAACCCCAGGGAAAACACGTCCTGGAGGCCAGGCAAGGCCCAGAAGCATTATTCACATTTGGAAGGATTAGGTTAGACCAATGGTACATGAAGATGCCCTCCATGGGGTTGGGCACACGTTAGGTGGACAGATAACACACGGGAGTGGGAGTCAGGATGCCGTGTTCTAACCCTGCTCTGCCACCAATGGTGGCCCTGACTGAGCATGTCAACTCACTTTTCCTAACTGTACAATGAGGTTGTTGCTAGATGTTCTCTAGACCAGTGCTTCTAGCACTTTAAGATACAAAAAGATTACCTGGGGATCTTATTAAAATGTAGATTCTGAAAGTAGGTCTGGTGTGGGATCTGAGCATCTGCATTTCTAACAAGTCCCCAGGTGATGGTGATGCTGCTGGTCTGTGGACAACACTCGGAGTAGCAAGAGCTAGGATTCACTCCATCTTTAACTTTCTCTAAGTCACACATTAACGTAAAGAAAGATCTAGCTTTTGGTATTGGGATTCGGGGCAAGAGAGAGAGGAGAGAGACAGAGGAAGGGAGGGAGAGAGAGAAAGAGAGATAGAGGAGGGGAGGGAGAAAGAGAGAGACAGAGAGAGGTGGGGAGGGCTGGAGGGTTTGAAGGGAGGCGTTTGCCTGGGAAGGAGCGCAGGGTCCCACCGGGGAGACAACCAGAAGCAAATTTGCCTCTCTTGCATCTGTACTTTGGGATGAGTATACTTGTGATTCTACCACGAAGCTCAAAACATTTTCACTTGTGTGGCTTTAAGCCCTGGGAAAAGAAATAGCTCAATATTTCCTTTGCTTTGAAGAATTTGGAAGCTTTCACTCCTAACTTTAAAAGATGTCAACAGATAATTTTGTAAAAGCAGCAAACAGAACAAGTGGGTTACTCTGTCAAAGGAGCACCGCTTTGTAGCTGAGGCTTATTTCTTGTTTCTTTGTGAACCAATTTGTTAGACTTAAGAAATCTATGCTGATCAATAGTAAAATTTCATATCAGCCAGGGGCAGTCATAAATATAACGAACTGTCATTGCTGTGGGGAGAAAAACAGAGGTTTGTTTCATCCAGGGAAGCAAGAATGAAAGAGGCAAACCTAATCAAGAATAAAGAGCCAAGAATAAAATTCAGAGGTAAAAATTTGGTTGCAGGAATGAATAGTCTATTCTACAAATATCTGCGATGAATCCTATTTGTGGACATCATAAAGAATTAGAAGTTACATGAAAATAGTTAATAATAGTTGTGTTCATATTCAATGTGATGGATACATTATATATTTATCCTTCCATCTGTGAACAAATAACATGGAATACACCCGCGTCATTATCTGATCAAAGTGTAGGCACATTCAAAATGAATAATTTACACGTTACTGTCTTTCTCTTGCATTCTCAATGGCCTCTTTGCGTCCTGTATCCATCAACAAGCCATTACCGAGAACCTGCTATGCAGGGGTGCTGTGCTAGGACCTCAGAATGTTAATGTAGTCACTTGATTTTCTATAATTAGAGTCCTCCTTCTCACAGTGATCCAGTACTTGTCACTTCTCTGTGGGTGTGGCTTCTGCCAGAAAGCAATATCTCTTCACTTCTATGTAAAATGAGACATATGAGGAACATAAGGCTTGATATTTTTGAGACTTAGTTAATTATGCCTCCAAAGCCTGGTAAGACCTCCCCAGATTAATTCAACTCTTGTACATCTTAAGATGGAAATACTGAAGAACTCTGTAAGGTGTTAGTATCATGAAATGGGTTCTCAGTTGTCAAAATGTACCACGCATCACAGGTGAGAACTGAACCAGCTTGCTTTAGTCAGTGGGCTTGAAATAGAGGAGGGTGGTTGTGCTTTTCGAAACGAGAGCAAACATCTAATGCGATGAAGGTGGAAATCGGTAAACCTCCTCAACTCTCACGTGTAGGACAAATCGAGTTTAGGCTTCAGCTAGGCAAGATACTGTGCATTATTTGGACCTACCTGGAGAATTTAATAGCAGCTACAAAAGATTCTCTCTTTTTGTTTGAAGAAGCAGCCATAGGAATTTTTTCATCTGTGCTAAGTGAATGATGAGGACAGCCACTGATGGCTGTGGGGTGATTGAACTCCATAATGATTCCAGAAATCCTGTGATGCTGCCTTGGGTAAAAATTGCACTGTAGCTCTGCTGGGATCACAGATATTGTGCTGTACATCCCATTAACACCCCTGCATTACGTCTCGGTAAACACTGTTCGTTTGTGACTCCCCTGCGCTCGGATGTCCCTCCAAATTTCCAAGCTTCAGAAGTTTCTGCTGGATCAGCAATAAACAACTTAAACTTATCAAGAAGGGAGAGAGGATCTGGATTGTAATGTTGCTTTTGAAAAATGGAATCTTAAGTCATAAATCAACTTACTCAGATTCCTGACGTTGCAATCATCCTGTGATTCTTACTTCCTAACAACAACATTAAAATTCAACATCGGGCTTTGGCAAAAATAAAACAAAGAGGTAAAACCCAGATGCCAAGCCTTTCTGGTGACTTATTAAATGTCCTAATTGTTGTTAGGACATTATTTGAAATAATTTTTAATGAATGATTTTATCAGTCTTGTGACTAAATGAGAGACTCTGGAAGTTTTGGGCTGAAGACAACCTATGGATGGGTGAAAGAGAAGGGATGAGAAGAACTGAAGGCTAACCAGGTGTCACCTCTTTCCTTACCTCTCAATCTATAATAAGCTTGAAGACTGGCTAAAATCTGTTTCATGGATTCCTGCGGACAGACTTTAACCCCAGCCGGGAAAAATGCGGATCTTTTTGTTCGGTGCTTTGCCAGATCGAATATTTGTCTCATGCTTGACACTTTGTACATTTTTGCAGTACTCTCAGTTGTTTCAACTCTTGGGGCATTGTCTATGTCTTTAGTTTCAGAATAGTAAATTTTAGTGGAGAGATCTGTAAAAGAAAGATTAATTTCCTGGTAAATATATATATTTATGTGACGTATGTGACACATATGACAAATGAATGGAATAAACTAAAAATTGTCACCCTCTAGTTTATGAAAGTTCCACTTTGGTGCAACTGCCAGATTTAATTTTCCAATGACAAGGCATTTTCAGAAATAAGGGAATTGTATAATGAGCTGATCAAGTGTATTTTTTAAAAAAAGCCAACGTCTCAAGTCATCTTGCCTTTACAAACTGCCAAATATTGAAACCAATCCCCACACATCTCTCTAAAAGTCACTCCTTACTTAGTACTCAAACCTCTCAGAGATGCCTCTTCTGACAGACATTATAGTTCGAGTGTGGAAAGATACAGCGTTGTGGTCTCCAGAGGTGTGTACTCTTGGTGAGGAAGTGCAGCGATTCTAAAAACCTAGGGAAAAATGTGGCAAAACCACCTCCTGCCAGTTAATGGCTGCCCTAGGATTTCCATATGGGTGAGGCTCAGAGGGTGGCAATCTGGTTAAAAGTGAGTTGGGGTAAGGACATGACTTAGAGTTGCATTTTCAGAGCAAGCTTGATATTTTATGGGGGGTGGTGAGAGGAAGGATGAAGGGGAGAGCAAGGAGAGAAGACTGGCAGAGGATTTAGCTCCCCAAGCCAGTTCATTGTGTTGGCACTGCTCTGTCTGTTAGCGTTAGGTCTAGACTTCATTTTTAAATCTCTAGACCTCTCATTGTAATAACTTACATTCATGGAGCACTTTTTTAGATTGAATTTTTTGTCATATATATTATCTCATACCATTCTCACAAAAGCTCTATTACATAGATGAAACAGACACTTTTTCTCAGTTTACCACGCCGTAGGGTACTGAGGCTTAGAGTGTGATCAGGCCTCTGTTTCTCCTCACCCACCCCATCTCTTTCCTTTTATCCATTCTACCTTTTAAGAAAGGAATTACTGATGAACAGTTAGGACCACTCACTGTGGTCCCTTGAGACCATATGCATGTGGTCTACAGAGATTTATATTCCCATTTTACTAAAGAAGGCTCTCAAACTCATATCTTCTGAATTACAGTACAGACAAAGGAATCCAGCAGAAATCCAAGCAGGGGAGCTGCAGAGCAACTCAAATCTTGCTGCAAAGCATAAAAGTCCCTCCTTCATCATGGAGGGTGGACAGAGTCCTAATGGGAACACATACTCTCTGTCACTTTGAGGAGTCTCAGAGCATTCTGTTGGCTTTGGGCAGTGATAAATTTTTAGGAATCTCCAGAAAGGAAGGGAGCTGAGAGATTAATTTGCTCACCTAGCCACACACCAGACCAATAAATCATAATCTCTGAGTGGAACACAGGCATCAGCAGCTTTTGAAGGTCTCCAGGTGATGCCGATGTGCAGACAGGTTTGGGAACCACTGTTTTATGGCTCTGTAAGGATACTTTCAGCTGAAAAGTCAAGAGAACCCACCTCGAACTGGCTTAAACGATAAGGAAGTTATTATCACATAGAAAGGAAGGCTAAAGATGAGGAAAGCCTGGTGAAAAGGGAGCCTCGGCTCTTGCGTTTCTGCCATTCTCCTGAACTCTTTGCTCAGCCCCCTCACTTGGTGACTTTACCCATAGGCCAGCTCCCACTGAATGAAAAGTGCTTGTCCTTGTTCATGTTGAAAAATAGGCTGTCTCTAAAGTATGGCTGACTGATGCCACGTACCTGGACCAATACCAATTGCCAGGGGAGTGCCAGTGCTGTTGACCTGAGCTGAGCGATCACGGGGCAGGGGACTGTGCTTACCCTGAGTGGCGCATTCTAACTGTGGAGGCGGGGCCAGTTCTCCCTGAGTCAGGTTGGCTGCATGGCAAAGCAGAAGGTGCCCCTTCAGCGCTAAGGCAAAGTGCAAGAGGGGGATGGGAGCTGAGCATGCAGCCAGGAGTGCCCACTGCAGTTAGTAACATGGGGATTTTAGTTTAGGAATTTTAATTCTTAATAACTCTTTCAAACACTCTTAGATTACAATGTGGCATGTTGTAGTAAAGTTTTTGTAATTACATTTCAGTTGTCACTAAGAATGGAAGAAAACGTATGTCATTGGATAATTCCAGGCCCGTGTGGTGTGGGGAGCACTGGCTGTACTTGGGGAACCCGTGCTCACGCACCTTGCACTTCTCGTTCTTCCTGCAGTGCCTGCCCACAATGTGAGGAGGTCCTGCTAATGGCTGGTCCTGTTCTCCGCTTTGTCACCCCCATCTCTGTCCTTTGGGGTGGGTCTTGTTCTTACGTTTTTATGTTATGCTCTGGTAGAACTCTCTGAATAACTTGGTTTGGGAATAGTATTTCTTCCACCCTGGCTCTGGGAACAATGCCCTTATCCTGGAATTTTTCCCACTTGGATTCTCCTGGATCTTAATATATCCAGCTCATATCCAGCTCATATCCAGGCTCACTCACAAAGATCCTGCCTGATCTGGGTCTTTGGACTTTTTCCTGTCAGGGTGGGAATAGAAAGGAGGTGAGAAGGTCACAGATTTGCCCTGTTTCCCAGTGTTCCCCTGAGCCCTGACCTGTTCCCTTTCTCCACTCGGGTCAGCCTTTCCTTCTGCCTCACATGTCAAGTCCACACAGCTGGTGGTCGACAACGAGGGTGAGTCAGGCGACAGGAGGCTTGGCTTGCTGGGGATATTCTGGCTGGTGGCTGCTATCCTTTCATTCTTGAATGTGTCTGTTCAGAAAATAAATTACGCGAGCACCCAGTTTTTACTATCTCCCTGCCGGAGGAGACCCAAGGCAAACATTCTGCAAATGGCTGCCTCCCTCCTCTAGGAAGCAGCTTGTTCCATTTTTGAATATCTCTACTTAAATAATCTTCCCTTTGACCTGAAAATTACCTTCCAGTAGCTTCCACACATTAGTCTTATTTCTGCCCTCTGTATGTCAAAGACCAAGTTACAGATACTTTCATAAACAGTTCCTCGTATCTTCCCTACTTCAGGCACTTCTCTATAGGAGGCTAAACATCTTCCACCTTTCTCTGGTTTCCTTTACACCTCAGCATCAGACATGTCAGCCTATGTCCCTCTAGATTACCTAGACCAAGCACGAGGACCGCTGTGATGATACTGTCACCTGGGCAGAGATCAGAATCTTCCCTGTGCCTCTGCTCCAAGTCATCACTAGGGAAGAGGTGGGCAAGGTCCCTAAGAACAGGGCTTAGAGTTACTTGGGTCCAAGGATATTTGTAGGCCAGGCCACAGTGACAAAATATGTATCTTTTCCAAGGATTTTAACTAAAATAAACCAAAAGTTTTAAAGAATTGAAACATGGAATGTTAGACATTTTACTGAGGGAAAGGGAACTAACACTTACTGGAGCTAATGAAGGTGCTCTTGGGCAAAGCAATTAGATCACATTAGATGCTGTGCTCAGTGCTGCACAAATTATAACGTTGATACTGAACTGAACTTTGAAAGAGTCTTTGGATGCATTTTCATGAGTTTGATATTTTTAGTTTATAGAAGTATTTGGAAAGAGTAGGTAAAGGTTGAACAAGAATGAATTGATAGTTGGAAGACGTGCTGTAAAAAGGGAGCATATTTATTAGAAGATTGGAAAATTTTTTGAAGCAGAAACTGTTTCTCCAAGATGATGGCAAAACATGAGTATAACCTGTGTGATGATGAATTGGCTGCCATCAGCAACTGTCTCTGGATGAAGTGCAAACTTACGAAGACAAGAGAAGGGCAAAATGATTTCAGAAAAAGCAAAAAACCCCACATCTTTCCCATAGTACAAGAATATAAGCAAAGTTTAATTAAATATATTATGAATCTGGACAAAAACAAATGCCATTGTACTATTGTATATAGCAGATTAAACACCAGGACAACACCCTTAAACCAGTAGTTTTAGGCAATAGTCATATCACTGAACGAGGAAAAGAGGAAAATGGAATTTAATATATTTGAATATTCAGAACTTCTAAATACAGATGAGGAACAGCTAATATGCGTGGTGCTAACTTGAATATGTTCATTATTTGTGAAAGAAAAATGTAGTAGCAACACAAATCATAGGTCACACAACTATTCAAAATGTTTTAATAGTACCAGTGATACGCAGGGCACCGGCTCCCTGACTCACTAGCTCCCTAACTTAGACGTCCTTGGCTTCTCTGTGCCTGAGCTTCCTCCCCTGTGAAATGGGGAATAATAATGCCTCCCTACAGGGTTTCTGTGCTATCAAATAACTTCCTGCGTGCGCAGCACTTAAAACCGTGTGGGGCACAGGGTAAGCGCTCAGTATGAGCTCCTTTATCCAATCATCTCCGCCTTCCACCTCCTGGTATCGCTGCTCTTTCCGCATACTGCTCCTCAATCCTCAGAGCAGGCTGTGCGCATGCCCGAGGACTTCGGTGCTTCTGCGCGGTGCTCATCTCGTTCATTCCTACCAGGAGCACCCTCTTCTTCCTTCTTTGTTAGGCTCCTACCTTTCCCTCAACGGCCAGCTTCTAAGCTTTCTCTCCTAAGCTTTCTCAGATCCCACGTTCAGAAGTCCTTCGTTGTTCCCTCCTGTTCCTCTGGTGTGGCTCCTTGTCTCTTTTGCAGTTACTGATTCATCAGTATTCACTGAGTGCCTACTATGTTTCAGGCCCAGTATGGTATAAAGTGGTAAGTTAGATGAACAAATGTCGTGGAACTCGTGTTGTAGTGCTTGCTTTGTCCTGCCTTGGGCAAGTTTGTTGTAAATATATGACTTTTGCCCTTTAGGCTGCAAAGACCTTTGTACTGGCAGATACCTAGACTTTTAGGCTGCAGATACCTGGGTATTATGATCTTGTCCTCTCCCCAAGTCACCTTGGTGCTTACCTAGTACAGTGTTTGTATCCAACAGTCATACAGTGCATATTTATTTAGTGAATTACTGAAAAATTCCTGTGGAAATAGTAATGGGTCTTTTATAATATATGAATTATATGAATTAGATTTGTTTTAAGAACCATTAGAC